TAATTAATACTTTACATTTAATATTAATCAATAAGTTTATAACTAATTTTAATTAATAATAATTAAGAATTCATAGTAATTAATAATAATCAAAGAATTATTGAAATAAGTGTCAAAAGGATCCTGAACGTTATTAAAACACTATTTCAAGTAGTTTTTCTATAAGTTAAATTATCAACTATCTTATGACTATTTAAACGAGGTTTATTTAGTAAAATTAAAAAAATAAAATTAACTTATAAGCTTTTAACATATGGTTGCCAAACATATCGTAAAATACAACGTCATATTTATTTTTGTGTACAAGTTTTTTGTTTTTATAATTATAAATGTTTAGACTAATTTACATGCATTTTGATTAATTTTATAGGACAGTAAAGTTAACAGTCAGTCAAACTTGAGTCATCCCGAGATAACTCGAATTGGCTACCACATACAAGTCAACGCATCTTTAAAACAAAAGAAAACTCAACGCATCTTTAAAACAAAAGAAAACAATTGCATATTTTCTTTGAAAATTACTCAACATAAATTCTAACAATGGAAGAATCACGTGATCTTCTTTAAAATTTAGGGGTTGTTTATGAAAGGCTTATCGGTTAAGTATTTACCAGTTGTTCTTTTCTTATTGGATGAGGATGAGAAAGATCGAGAATTTACTCATTAAGAGGCACGACAACGACAACATTTTTACTCGGTGAGTGAGGAAAAAGGCTCTTACCTAATTAGCAGTTACCAGGTAAAAGACGATTACCAACAATCCATTTTGATGACCATAAATATTACCAAATAAAGTAAGTGGGGAGTGATAACTATTATTGATAAACACTTATATCTATTAAGCTTTTTGTAAGTGACCCCTTATTAAGTCATCAACTTCAATGTTTTTTCAAAATGTTCTCCAAATAGTAATAAACTATTAATGAGTTACGCATCAGAGATGCTCTAAATATTAATCCTTTCTATCCAAAATAAACGTTGACAATGAAAATAACATGTGGTTTTTGAAAGTAAAATATTATTAAAATTATTTGTAAATAAATTCAGAAATCATATGCAGGAACCATAATATTTCGTAATTTATTGAAAAGTCCACTTTGATTCTCTCTGTCAACTAATAATGTAATGATGTGGGACCATGATAAGATGAATTCGATTCAAATCCTCTCGTATAAGGGGTATGTGAGTCAGATGAAGGGAGGGGTAAGAAATAGTTGGTATGTGAAAGAGTAAGGGTGCGTTTGATTTGCGGGAATGTTTTGGAGGGATTTGGATTCCCTTGAGGGATTTGGATTCCATGGGATTTGGATTGGATTGGATTTGAAATCCATTCATCTGTTTGGTTTGTAGGATTTGATTTTTAATACTTCGTATAATTTTTTTAACCTAATCTGTGTTCATGAGATTTCAACCTAATCTGTCAAAATTGAAGGATTTAACCTGATATGTGTTCATGTATATTCAACCTAATCTGTCAAAATTGAAGGATTTAACCTAATCTGTGTTCATGTATATTCAACCTAATCTGTCAAAATTGAAGGATTTAACCTAATATGTGTTCATAGTTTAGAGAGAAATCCAAAAGGGGAAAATGATTTACCTGTTGACGATAGGCGACGGAGACGAAGGGCGACTGTTGACGAAGGGCGACGAGACGAAGGGCGACGGCGGTGGCAACGGAGACGAAGGGCGACGGCGACGGTGAGCAACGGAGATGAAGGGCGACGGCGGTGGCAACAGAGATGAAGGGCGACAGCGACGGTGGCAACGGAGACGAAGGACGACGGCGGTGGCAACGGAGACGGAGGAGACGGCGATGTAATCTGTGATGAAGGGCAAGAATGAAGGATGAAGGAGACAGCGATGAATTCGGGCAAGAATGAAATCCCACGGGAATGGATTTCAAATCCCGTGTATTTTCAAAGGATTCTCAAATCCAGTGTTGGTGGGATTTTAAATGAATCCCGGGATTTTAAATCCGACCATTTCTACAAACCAAACGCAGGATTGGAATGGATTTCAAATCCAAATCCCTCCAAATCCTGCAAACCAAACGCGCCCTAAGGGTATGAATGGCAACTTCTTTAGACATTTTTACTATTGACATTGGTTCTTGTGATTGCCACCCATTATCAACTCTCGTTCCTCTTTTGAACTAATTACAATTTTAATCATTGTGGTTGTCATTTTGCTTCAATTTTAGTCCCTGGAACTAACTCCCGTTAAAAAGATCCGTTAAGTCAAGGGCTTTTCAGTCTTTCTACTTTTTATTTTTTGTTCTATCAGATTTTTCTAATCTTTTTTTCTCTTTAAAAAATAAATTTTA